TTTCTGTTGCCTATTTTTAAAACTTTGAATAAAAATATCTAGAGTTCAAGATTTTTTTACATTTTCGAAAAAAATAGTTATAACAACTCATTGTAATATTATAATATATAATATAATATAAGCAAAAGGTGCTTAAATACTAGCAATGCTAGAAATAAAGATTTAAAAAACTTATTTTTTTAATGAATTTAACAATTTATTAATATATTTTTTATTTATTTAATTATTTATTTCGCCAACAGCTTGTACCTTAACTGGCTACTTGACTATTACTAAACTAAATAATAAGGGAAATAATACTAAATACTATATTAAAAATATATTATATATCAATAATATATTATAATATTATATATATTATAAAATAATGATATGATATGAGCAAAGTATCAATTTATTAAAGTTATTACAGAACCGACTGAAACCGAGCAATATCCCCTTTGAAAATGGTTTACAAAAATTAAAAAAGGCCCCGCCCCTGTCTACGCCTTGCTAAACGTTTCCGTCTCTTTCGCCCCCGCGAGTAAAGTTCAAATGTTGGCCTTTCTTGACCCGCAGACCAAGGGCTTAACAATATTTACACTAGATGGCGCTGCAAAGTGATTGAGCGTTGTGAAATTCTAATTGGAAATTGATTCAATTGGAATCCAGCAAATTCCTGCGAATAAACGAGTTAACTGTGTAATTAACTCCAGGGGAAATATTTCATTACTGGTACATCAGCTGCTTGTTGGTTTAAATAGTTACGCCAATTGCATTAATTAATTAATAGCTGTGCTATTTTATTACGTTTTAAATTACTAACTGTAAAGTTCAATTATGGTCAAGATTTTAGTTATAACTTTTTATAAATTATTTATATGCTAAATTTAAATTTAAAGCTAACTGTTTTAAAGTTTTGACAACTTGCATATTTAAAATGTATCATGAATTTACTCTACCATTTATTTTAATGTAAACTTTGACGTTTTAATTAAATTAAACTAATTTGGGAAAGTGTTTTGGCAGAGGCTCTCAATTTCTCTTTATTCAGTGTATTCCCTAGTAAACGTAGGAAAAAGGGACGAGGTCCTGAGCGATTTACCAAAAGGCTCACAAAATGAGTTTAAATTCCCCAAATGCGCTTAGGTACAAATTTTCTTCCCCCAAAACAACAACGAAAAAAAAGGAGAAAAAAGGGAAAATGGAAAACAATTTAAAGCGTTTAAGCAAAGTACGGAAAAATAAAGGAAAGGAAGGGGGGGGGGGTAATTGCATGTGTGTGCGTGTCTATTCATGTGCAACAAGGCGCCTGCTGTCGTGGGAATTTAGAGGGGGTTTTAGGGGGGGGGGGGGGGGGTTTGGTAAGACAAGGCGCCCAAGCGGACATGTGTTTATCATTTTTGTAGTATTTTTTGTACTTTTTGTGTTATTGTTGCAAGGAGGCGAATGCAGCGCAGCCTTCCGCCTTCTGCTGTATAATAAACAATTTCTTTTTTAAACACACACACAGATACAGACAGAAATACATATACATGGGCCCAAGTGGAGCAACTTTTACATGGGAATGGCAGCAACTGCAGCGACTATCGAATGAATCATTCACGCAGTAATGAATACGGCCACACTGGCGAAATTGATTTTTTGAACAATATTTTGAAAGCACTCGTATTTATGTACATACGTTATGTACTTCAGTTAACCTATTAAATGAAATAATAGGCATGTGATTTTACATTGGCATTAATTTGCTAAATAATTCAACTTCAATTTAATACTTGAAAAAAAAAGTGTGACCATGCTATTTATAGCCATAGAATTAGCTAGATGTTGCTATATTTATTGAAAAAAAATCAATATATTTGTTATGTGTTTATTTATTTTATTTTCTGCTTGTTAAATATAGGATATCTATTTCATTTAAATAATTCTAATCTCAATTTTAAATTTTGCACAGTGTACCTTGTGGAAATGGTAGAGCCAATGGTGCACGATCCAAACAAAATAAAAATCTCCTAATGAAGGTGCAAAAAAGGTCCTGCTGAGTGCGCACTTAAAATTACAAGGCGCTGTAATTTCGAGAAAGCTACTCAAACTTTAGGCAAATGTAAACGAATGTTGAGAAGAACCTGTCAAAGGTTGGAAGGGAGGAAGAGTTAAAATATGTATAGACTCATTTCTGATATACCGAAGTATTTAAGCCTCTTAATTTAAAAAAAAAACTATTATGCGTGATTTTAATTTTTAAATATTTTGTTTAACATATTCTCATTTCTTTATAATTTTGTTTTTTTATATATTTATTTTGTCCCACGTTTAAACGAAAATGTAGCCGAAAAATCCACATTTTTTTTCCCTCCATGGCATTTGATGTTTTCCTATCTCTCCGAGAGTCTATTTGCTCGTATTATTATTATGAATATTAAGTTGTTCCTTACTCCTGCGGTTGTTGTTCCTTCGGCTTCATCCCTTTTGTGTGTGGTGGCAGCACAAAATGGCATTAAATTAAATAAAGACCCGTATTAGGCATGCCCATGAGGGGCGCTGGGGGAGGGGGGGGGCTAAAAGGGCAGGGGGGTCGAGAGTTGAGCGAGGTTACGCCCCTCGGTTAAGGTGGAATAGTCTCTCCTATATGCCATGGATCAATAATGGGCACAAAGTTCCCCAACCAGTAGCAACAAATAAAAAAGGGTTAGACCAAGGAGGGATTTTCTAATGCTTTTATGCACAGGAAAAAATATTAGGTTTTTTTAAATTTATATGTTATGCATGAGGAAAGATAAAACATAACGCTATTCTGATGATTCCATGAAATTTGCAGTGTGACCATGCAGGTTGCTGAAAACTAACAGTGTGACCAAGCATTACTTTGAATTTCTGCGAGATGGGAAATTACATTTTTCAAATGTGTTTCTATTACATGTGACTTATTTTGTACAGTGTAGGCTTGGGGTGACTCAGGGATAGGGTGCTGCTATTATTGCTGTTGCAGTACAGTTAAGTCAATTTTACAGCAGCAATAACAACAATAAATGGCAACATTGTACACTAAATTGTGCAAAACTTCGTTGCGTTTTCTGTTTCTGTTTCGGTTTCGGTTTTAGCTTTTGTTTTGCTAAGTTTCGATTTTCCCCACGTTGTTGTTATTGGCTCCACTACTTCTTCTTCTTCCATGCTTTTCCCATGTTTGCCCTGTCATCAATTAGGACATGCATTTGGTTTTTCTATTTTTCTGCACTTTTCCGTTTTGTTTTTGGAACGATTTGTTTATTTTTGTTGCTTTTCTTTGGCAAAATGATTTGGCGCAGTTGAATAACAGAAAATGTTGCATACATTTCAGCGCCCTGCGGCTTAAAAAAATATAAATGAAGAGTGTATGTATATGTAGGGAAAATATACTATAAATAAATGTAAATAATATATGTATGAAAAATAAAGATATTTAATAAAATTTGCTGCGATAAAAGAAGAATGTTGGCCATTTTTTGTCTGTTTTTTTAATAATATATTAATTTGTATTGGGTTTTTATCGAGTAATTTAGTAACTATGTTCGACACTTCAAAATTAAATTTTTAATCAATTTTCATTTGCATGTTTCATGTCCATTTAGACTTATAAAAATTTATATTTCGATTTTTATGCATTGATAAATTCATTTTGGCATAATATTTCAATAATTTATTGATTAGTTATCTAGCTGAAGCGCGCCTTCAATCAATTTGGAAATGCATTTTGTCCTTGCGCATGATTGGACCACGAGTAGCGGGGCAAGGACGTTCGAGGGGGGTGGCAATGGGTGGCAGTGGGTGTTTCGGGGGGTGGTGCAACTGCAACGGCGGCGATATTGGAAATGCAGTAAATAATAAAGTGCAATGGGTGCTGGGCGGGTTTTATACACCATATGACAAATATGCACTGTTGAAAAAATTCCATGAAAAACAATAAAGTACACCCAAAGTCTGTATAAAATACAAAAACAAAAATGTTTCTTCATAATAATAAATACATTTCTTAAAGTCTTCATTTTTCATTGTCTTACTAAAATTTTAAATCTTTCTTTCTATACCTTTCAGAAAAATTCAATGTGACCATATTTTGCTGTCGTCGTGCAGTGTGACCCTTTATTTTTGTGCGCACCGCTATAATTCCCAACTTCTTCGTTTTACGATTAATATCCAGGGTTCTAACACTGAGTCTCTTTGTAGTTTAAGGTCTTCTTGAATTTCCCAGTGCACTCTCAGCGTGGATAAGCAGGGCGGGGGGCGTGGCTCTATGCGGGCTTATGCAAATGTCGCGCAACGATATCCACCAACAAAAAATCGCGAAGAAAACAAAGGAACCCCAGAGCAGAGAACAGAGAGGAGACGTGTGGAAAAAGAAATGAAAGAGAATTGTGCACTTGAAAAGCGGCCAAATCGATGTCAGCAACAGAAATGCAAATAAAAAAAGCCAAAAAAAAGAAAAGATGAACGGAAAATCGGCTGGATAAAGGCGAAAATAAAAGGAGGAAAATCCCGCTCCTTGGCAGTTTTTGAATGGTTGGCAGAAACAAAAATGGGAACAGCTCAGAAATGGATATGGCGAGCGGAGGGGACTGATGAAGTGCCGCACAAAGATCTTGGTCCCTCGAAGAATGGCGGCGGGAAAGCAAGCGGGAAAATCCGGCAAACGAAAGTTATAGGAGGTCAGCGAAAGGGAATTGTGGGCGACTTTGCCAGGATCTCTGCTAAGCTGTAGGAAAGGAGAACGTAAGGGAAAATAACTCTAACACATCATTTTTACGAAAAAAAAATTGGATTCGATTATAAATGAAAGTATGATTCATTCCCAAGGTTACAAAATGTGTCTGCTTATTTCCAAGAATTAAATGAAATGATTAATTACGTTATCTCTGAAGCAGACATCAAAACATCCGGAGTGATTGTACCGCCTATAATCTTTTTGAGTTGGATTTCTTTATCAGCATTATTTAAGGTTTCCTCAGGCCCAGAAGAATTTCAGTACGTTTTAAAAGTTTCCTTTCATAGGTTGAAATTATTCGAGATGCTGAAGCTGATATATTTTTCTGGATTTGTCCTAACAATCCTGAATTTTCAGGTGATCTCAGCGAATTCACAGGGCAATGGGCGCTCCATTTGTCTCTTAGAGGACCCACCAAATCAGTGTGGGGACTTCTGCCTGACCAAACTACATCCCATGATTGATTTGATACCCGTGACTAACTCGAAATTGGAAAGGATCCAAAGTGAGCAGCAGGCCTTAAGGGTCAAACTCCTGGCAGTTCAGTTTACGGTTGAGGCACAGCGGGTAACAGTGCAGAATTCTTTGAAAAATATTACCACAAAAGGAGAATTCGGGGCAAGACTCAACGAAACCGAAAGAAAACTTAGGGTTGAAAGTTCTGAATTGAAGAACCAACTTCAGTTGCTTCGCACCAAAGTTGAAGATCAGCAATCAGCTATAAAAACCAAGCTGGATGCCCTTTTGGAACCTTTAAGCAAAACCATCACCAAGGATGATTTCCAGGCGAAACTCAACGGTATGGAAGCCCAGTTAAATATGTTACAAAGCACACTCTCTAAAATAGAAGACACCAAAAGCAATACTAAGGAAATGCCTACAAAACCCATCCCACCGATGTTCCAGAAAATCGGCGAGAGGTATTTCTATATTGAGAATAATCTCAATCAAACTTGGCATGAGGCTGCAGTCGCTTGTCATCGGATGGGCGGCTTTTTGGCAGGCATTAAGGACCTAAAGGAATTGCTGGCCATTCAAGATAGAATTAAACCTCATGTTTGGTACTGGCTTGGGATCAACGATCTGATGACCGCCGGCCAGTTCCTATCGCTGGCCTCGGGAAAACCGGCAGAAATTTTGACCTGGAGGTCCGATAGCCCCAACAACGAAAACCGGTGCGTTCAACTGCAAAACGGAGATATGAGTGATTGGCGCTGCAATGATAAGGTTAAATTCATTTGCCAGGCGGACAGCGAAGTATAATAATTAAAATTGAACATCAGCTAATGCTATCATACCAGGTTATTGAGTTCCCATACAAAAAAAATTCCAAAGTTTGTAACAATGTAAATATAAAATGAATAATTGAAAAAATGTATCTATTTATTTTATAATAGCTTTTATACATAAACATTTTTTACAATATATTCGATTTTCAATTAAACATTTGTGAACATGTTTATAAAGTTTTTATATTTTTTAAAAAATCTAAAGAACATTTTCTTAAACATGTTTTCTTTATGATTTCGACGCGTTAAGCGACCCCGAATAAGTCAAAAAAAGAAGAACCTCCACAAAGAGTTAAATAATGCTATTTTAAAGAGCAATCTATATGGATTTTCTCGTTTTGTTCTGGCATAAAAAGCAAATTCAAGAGTGGGTGTTGGCCGTTGGGTGGTGGCGTTGTTGCCAACGTTAATTGCGGCAATTAAGGACTGGTTCCCCTTGGATGTCCTTGCCGGTGTATTGTTCCCCTGCCAAACGCCCAGCCCCTCCTCTCCAGCCGTTCCATTCCATTCCGTTTGTTCTATAAATGTTTTAAACATTTTAATTAGTTTTAATAAACGGCCTCGGGAGGTCGCTGGGTGGGGAAAACTGTTTGAAGTGGCCCCGACTTCGTCAACAGTTTCGTGTCAGGTGCAGGTCCACTCATTCTCCCTCTCATTCACACCCCCCCCCCATTTTCCCCCCGGTTTTCCCTCATTTTCCTCGGCACACACGGCTTGACAATGAATTTTCGTGAAAAGGTCGTCGCCCACTTTTTTCTTTATTTCCTTCCGCTTTGTTTGCTTCTTTTGTGAGAGCTTTTCCAGCTGCCGCTGGTCCGCCGAATGGTCAGACTGCCATACACTCGCGGTTAAAACAATACCATTCATTCGCACGATCTTCTACAATAAGAGATATCATAAGTGATTACTCCAAGTAGAGATGGGAAATTATATCGATATATCAATATCGAAGGAAAGTTTTAGGATAGGACGGATATTGAGATGGATATTGGGACCTATGTGTAATATATATTTATTATAAAATGGTAGGCTTCACAACACTCGTTGGTAAATCAATACCATTCATCCAACGATCTTCTACAATAAGAAATATAATAAGTATATATTCCAAGCAGAGATGGTGAATAATATCGATATATCAATATCGAAAGAAGGTATTTATATTTAGATGGGTAATTTGACCTTTGGGTACTATATTTATTATTAAATGTTCCAAATTCCATACACTCGGGGTTAAAATAATACTATTCATTCCAATGAGCTTCGGCAATAGGAAATAAAATAAGTGAATACACTCCAAGTAGAGATGGTAAAAATATCGATATATCAATATCGAATGGATGTTTTAGGATATGCTGGATATTTAGATGGATATTGGGACCTTTGTGTAAAATATTACTTAAAATGATCAGCCCTAAATACCCTCGTGCTTAAAAGCACATTCCAAAATTCTTCTACAAAAAAATAAATTAATACTTATGGTAATAATGATCGATATATCATTGAAAATTGCTAAATATATTTATTATTAAACTCTTCTACGCAGTTAAATTTGTACTATTGTTTTCTAAAGATCTAAAAGATATATTTGGTGAGATACGATTGTTATGGAACTTTTTATTAAGGCTTAAAACTTTTTTTTTTTTTGGATAAAAAAGATTTTTATAAATTTTTTAATTCTTAAGATCTGTTTGAACAAAGTATAAGGAAAATGTATAAAATTTTTTTTTTAATTTTAGACCTTTTCTAAGCATTTTAGAGTGAAGATTTGCATAAGGATTTTGTGTGTATTAGTGCTATTATCCGAGCCACATCTGTGGGTCAAGTGTGTGTTTGTGCGCAGACAACGAGGTGTATGCGTAATGTTTAGTTGGCGGTCGCTCTTAACCCCCTAACGCCCCCGTTAACCCCACACCGGCTTCTCGGTTTTGGTTTTGGTTTTCGGTCCTGTTTTCTGGTCGCTGCGGTCGCTGCGAAATTTCCGCCTGTGAACTTTAGTTCACTTTTTGGGTTGCGTGTTGCCAGTGCATTGTTTTCCTGTACTATATGCCCCACATGCCCCGTCTCCCTTCAACCCTTATGCTCCGTCTCACTCTAGCTAATATTCCCCATCTCTTTCGTGTGTTTGTGATTGGGTCTTGCGGCCGAGCACTAAATAAGTTGACAAGACTGCGGTTCCCGGACATTTTGGCGGGTTAAAGGGATCATATGAGGGGTTGAAAGGTCGCAAAGCCTCAAAACGCTTGAATTTCGCAAATTTACCAATTTGGAAAAGGTTAGGGTCTGGGTTCATGTTGGGTTCAATCGGGGTCCGCCAGTGGGCGTTGCGGTTTAAATCAAAGTGGAGTGCCTTCTGGGGGACATTTCGAGTGTCCCAAATGTTTCGCCTTACTCTCAAGGTAAATGCCTTAATTTAAATCAGTCTTAACTTGGACTTTAATTTGAAGATCAAATGTTTTGATTTCTTTTTCGGTACCTTTAAAGTTGAGACCGTCTTATAAATTACATTTTCCCCTATTTACAGGGCAGTTCCCCTAAGAGAAAATATAAAGTATCCCCGCTGTAGACCCGGAAAACTCGCAGATAAGAATTTTTCGAGCTGCCTATAGGGCGACGGAAAAGAAGTATAGCGAAAATATACAAGAAATGCTAAATAAATAAATAAATAATGAAAAATAGCGATAAAAAATACACCAAACTTCAAGCTATATTTTTCCAGAAGCCCCCCCCCCCCAAAAAAAATAATAAAAAAAAGAAAAACCATTTGCTGTCAACGCGGCGGTCGCGACAGGAAGACGATTTGCAGCCATTTGTCATGTTGAGGGCCATCGAGAGGGGGGGTGGATGCAGGATTCGGGATTCAGGATTCGGGCCAAAGGATGCAGGGGCGTAGAAGGTCGAAGGGGTGAGGGCGGCTAGGCTGCCACGGAAGTGCTGCCGAAAAATAAAATATATATATTGGCGGGGGCAAGGCCGAGGGAAATCGCTTGTTGTTGTTGTTTGGTTTCATTTCTCGCTGTTGTCGAATTGAGAGGGCGATTTCGAGGGGGATAGGGTGTTGAAAATCCAGGGGTGGCGTTAGGGGCACTCGAATGTCCCAGAGAAGCTGTGTCAGTTTGTTTGGGCAGGACGTTTGGAACGGGGAGTGTTAAAATATATAAGCAGTAAATAAGCTTAAAAGCCGCGTGGGCGGCTACAGCTTCTGCTTGTTGGAGGTACAGTGAACACTCGCTAGATACTACCTTCAAGGTTCTACATTTTATTTTTATATTTTGAATTTTTAAAGAATTTAAATCAATTTATTTTTGTAACTTAAGCTTTATAATTTATTTAATTTTATTTAAAGTCCTTCTTTGATATCGAGATAAAATATCGTCAGAACGTCCCAACAAGGATGATGGTAGTTCCTGGTAGAACTGGATCGCTAGATCCATTAAATTGCTAGACTTCTTTTTTTGTGATCTAGGGGTAACCCTACAAGGATTCATCATGGGAAATTTAAAAAAAATATTTTGTAAACTAGAAGTTTTTATTGATCTTTAAAAAATTCGATGTACTACAGGCTACCAAAAATTGGTGTTCAATAGCTTTTCTTTATCTTACCTAAATATATATATTATTTTCCTTGTTTTTTTTTTGCAAGTCCTTTAATCCGAGTTTGTTCTGTACTTATTGTTTGGCTGTTTTCGAAATTTATGCGCCTTGATTCCTCACACATGCAAAAACCTCTCACATGGCCACCAGTACACTTTACATTTCAAACTGTTGGCAATTGCAGAACAAAAAAAAATCAAAATAAAAAATAAAAGGGAAGAAAATCAAACAAGAAAATAAAAAGAAGGGGGGAAAAGTACTCTTTTCCATGTTGTAAATTTCATTTTAAAGTCGCAGCGCGAAAGTTTGGCAGCCTCGATGGACTCGGAGAAAAGAAGAAATCACTGCCCCCATTCTACACATCCTTTTTCCCCAGGACTTTTCCTTCATCTTACCCCCTGATTTTTATGGCTTTGCTCGTACTGTTTGAGTTTTGTTTGAGTGTAGGTTTTTATTTATTTTTGGCCTGTGTGTGTGCGAGCGAGATTTACCCACCTACTCTTCTTCTTTTTTTTTTTGAGTGCATATATGTTTGAGTTTTGTTTCAACAATTTATTCAAATTGAGTTTCGCCGACTGCCGGCCATAACTCAAAGCCAAGTTTCTCTGCCTGCGAAATAAATATTTCTCGCTTTGGTCCTTTCACTTTCTTACGCCCAGCATTTCCCGCATTTCCCCCGCATTTTCCCTCTGCATTTTCCATTTTCCCTCGCTCTAAGCAGGTGTTGATGGCTCCATTTTGATGGAGCAGCAGCTAAGCGGAAGCCGCAAAAGTGCGTGAGTCATAAAAATAAATTCTAGGCTCAAGAAGTCCACAAAAAGCCCAAAAAAAATCGAAGAAAAAAACCGAAAACCAAAAAAATAAACAAGAGAGCATAAAAGCAACGAAATGGTAGGAACAAAAGGGAAAGTTTGCCAGGAACTTTGAATTATTCGCTTTTGGCAGTCAATCAGTGATGTTGGGAAAATTTTGTTAGGGCAAGAGGGGGGAAATTTGGCTTAAAGTTGGATTCCTTTTTGGCAAGGCTTTAAGCCAATTTATTTTGCTTAGTTTGGAAAAGAAAGGAGAATTGAGGGCAATATTAATAAGAATTTATTTGTAATTTAAGAAATTTAAAAATGGTATGTTGGAAGAGGAATGTGAAATGCTTGCTTTTCTGATCTAATATTGATACCACAAGTATGAATTTTATAATGCATTTCTTGGCCATTCCTCTTACCGCTTTGGCCACTATTTCTCCTGCATTTTCAACCACTTTTTATCTACAAATTTCTTTCTTTTCCGCACTCTTGAATCCTGGCTGCTGGCTCATTTGTCACATGAACTCACATGGAGCCAGGGTCCTGGAAATAACCATAACCCTTGGCCAACTTACCCCGCAGGAAACTTCAGACTTATCATTAGGGATTCACTGAGGAAAATTACGATGAAATAATGATAAATTTAAGATACTTTTACATACATTTTT